TAATGTGATTTGGTGTTATTATGTGTTTGTTTGCTGTATCTTCATTTTTTGTTTTGTTTTGATATATTCAACTAGGTGAATCAAGGGTGGGGAGTAGATGCCTGGCTAGGCAATCCCTTTGCCTCTTTTTCCTCCCACCGTCCCAATGACCTTTCAGTTCTCAGAGAGGCCTCCTCCCAGGGGAGTGCCTTCCTGTCTCTGCCTGTGTGCCTTCTGGTTGAACATTTCATCTCTAGATCTGTGCCTGGTCATTCCTTCCTCAGAAATGGTTGCTAAAAGCATACCAACCCTTGTTGTTCTCCATCACAAACAGTAATCATCATGTATTTATCAGAATGTTTACTTGTTTATTGACTGTCTTCCACATTACATTATACACATTCCACAGCTTCACTATAAACGCCATGAGAACCAAGAGGCTGTTCTGTTTACCATTCACTGGATACCCAGCACCTAGTTCTATGCCTATAACAAAATGGTTGTACAATGCTGTTAGGAGATACTGAGTTGATTTCAACTCATAGCTAGACTATAACTACCCTGTATGTTTTCTGTTCTGTAATCTTCACAAGGGACCACAAACCCTCTGCCCTGCATAGTTACTGGGTAACTTTGAACCTCTTGATTAGTAGATGAGCACTTAACTGTTGAACTATGAGAACTCCTTAGATATCCAACATCCAATGAATGAATGCAGAACTGATGGGGGGGAAATAGCACCTGCATCTTGGGCAGGGGGTGAAAGGTTGCAGGGACAGTGAAGACTTGTGAAGGTGGAAGGAAAAGTCCAGTTGTGTAGGTCCTTAGTGTAGTCTTCATGCCCTAATATATTTTTTTTAAAAAATGCTTTATTTTATTATTATTTTTTTGTGTGTGTACTGTCAAATCGGATCTGACTGGTACAGGAGGAGATTGCCCCTCCTTCTTCAGCAGAGCATCTGGTGGATTTGAACCATGTGCCTCTTGGATTGCAGGGCAGTTTCTTGCCACTAGGCCACCAGAGCTCCCTATGCCCTAATATCTTAAGGTGAGGGATGGACTGTGTTTCTGATTAGATCAACCACTTAACATGGAACAGAGAGCCTGGGAAGAAAGGGCAGCAAAGCTTCAGCTGTTTAACGTTTTGGAGAGGCAGCAAGCAGCAAGCAAGCAGAGAGAGCTTGTTTGCCAGAGCTTGTATTTTATCACAGATATTTAATAACCGGTTTAAACAGAAATATTAAACAATCACTTCTTTCTTTGCTTTAAGAACCAAAAGTTTTTTCTTCTTCTTTTTTTTTTACAAGCAAGTAAAACCAGAAAAGACAATGACTCCTACATAGAAACAGTAGCGTGTTTTCTCAAAAGTAATACCTTGAAAGAGTATAAATAATAGAATGCTAACAAGTATTGTTTAAAAAGGATAAATTGCAAAACAAAAGTCAGATTAGTGGATCAAACTTTTTACTTCTAAATTGAAAAGGCGAATATGTCTACTTGCATCTTAGGAAATAAAGGGGAGGGGGAACCCAACCCAATAAAAACAAAAACCTCATTCATGTCTGCTTTACTTTCACCTTTTGAGTTTATTTCTAGGTACCCACGTCAGCTGGTTAGATTAGCCAGGTAATGTAATCTAGCCTTTTTTCCCCTTTATCTCTTTCCAGATTGAGGGATAAAGTCCAAGGCCCTTAGAATCTCACCCCAGTAATACTTGCAGATTCCTTTCTTTTTTTTTTTTTTAAAGTTTGATGAATTTATTTTAAATGTAAACCTTAAAAACATGGTAAATGCTTTTTCTTTTTTTATATATAATTATATTTTATTAATTTTCTTAGCTACTTCCTGCTGAAAAGGGACGCTGTGGGTTTCCTTTCTTACCACTTCCTTCTCTTATCTACTTAATAGGAAGCTTATTGCACAAAGGTCATGGGCTCACAATTATGGTCAAGACCTTTCCTGTTCAGCCAAATACTTCCATGCCAGGGATCCAAGGTATAGAAGGATGTTCAGGCCTCTTTTCTTTGTATGAGCTGTGGTGATAGAGTGCATATTCCAGGGTCCTGGTTACATTCTGCCTTTTGGTCCTGGTTACATTCTGCTTTTTGAGCTGGGTTCTGGCTACACAGTGTGTTTGTTTTGTGAAAATTCTTCAAGCACACTATCATTCATATACCTTTTTGTATGTATATTGGGACATAATGAAATGCTGGCATAACACAATGAGAAAGAACTGCACAAATTAGGCTGGAAATATTTGGGTGAAAAAGACAAAATTTAACAGAGACGTTTATCAATAGCATGGTTTATTGCACAGAGGTCTCCTTTACAAAAAGGAACTGCACATAAATGGAAGCCAGAGTTATAGAAGTCATTAAAATGATTGAGAAAAGGTAATGACAACTTGAAAAGTAGCATTTTTGTTATTCTATTTTGTTCAGAAATAGTGCAGTGATTTAATAGACCAACTTTACATTTAATAAAAATATATGCAAATATATACAAATGTACACGATTTTTAAAATTTGTTCTTGAAATTAATATACAATACCTGACTCTTATTCTCTAGATACAAAAATACAACAAAAGATGCCTTTAATTTCAAGTAAAATCTTCATTAACAATACAGAATTGAAAGACTGCCTCCTATTCACAAAATGCATAAGAAATAGTATTTAAGATAGCTTGGGAAATAAACAGTGTGTGGCCATAGATCACAAATGGTCACAAATGGACCCAAGATAGAACTTTGGTACTTCCTTCAAACAAATAAACAAGAAAGTGATCAGTGCATAGTTCCTCTATTGAACAGAGGTATTCACCAATTCTCTGCAAGGCTATTATATTCACTTTTTAGGGAAGTGACTTATTATCCTTATAGGCAGGTATCTCTATGAAACCATTATAATTCTGATTATGCTGTGCTCAGGAGTGGGAGAATTGTGTTCTGAGTCAGTCAAACAGTATTTTGAGCATGAAAGCTTTCTAACATCACAGTCCATTACAACTCGCTCACATTCTAATGCTGAGTAATAGAGCTGGGTAGTGGGCCGTTATTTAATAGATTTCAAAAGAAAAATTAGCTTTTGAAGAGCCACGCATTTAGGAATTTCACATCTAGATCAAGGGACAGTGACAATTGTGAGGGTGGCACAGGGCTGGCAGTATTTCTCTTTCTGTTGAATGCACTATGAGTAGGAACGTACTTGATTGCACTTCACAACAAGCAATGTTGCCAAGGAACAATATATACTTAACCAAGCAAGATATTGTCTTAGTTGGGGACGTAAGTAGTTCTTTTGTCTTGAAATGAAGTACAAGATCCCATAGTACTAAAATTTTAGAGGGCAAGACACTAATTTCAATCACACTCTCATAAACATTTATATTAATTTTTGTTGTTGTTAAAGTAACAGTTTTAGTGTGCTAAGCCCTGGTTTATAGTGGTAAAAGCACTCAGGTGCCAACAGAAAGGTTGATGACTAAATTCCCCCAACTGTCCCAGAAAGGAAGATGTGGCAGTGTTTCCACAAAGCTTTGCAGCCTAGGAAAGCCCATGGGACAGTTTTCTGCCCTCCTACAGAGTAGAGATGGTGGCATTAGTTTTGGTTTGAGTATTTTACATATTCCCATAATTATTTCTAGAGACTGAAAGAAATTAAATTGCTTTGTTAAGTTGGAGAGAGTCTATCATGTACTTCCTTTGATTTATATTGTGGTTCACAATTACTAAATTGTGAAAAGTGGTTTCTATGAGTCAAGATAATCTGCTTATTGCTTCACTTCTCTGAATCAATATTTATATTTACAGTCCAGTTCTGCCCCTTCTATATGAACCATTTTATTGATTATAAATTCTAGTTATAGATCTGATCACATACAACAGTTCATTAAGAAGAAATGGCCAAATTTGCCTATTTTTAAAGTTTTGATTTACTGTTGTTAGAAATCACTGCGTCAACTACAACTCATAGGAACCCTATAACAACAATCTGAACCTTGCCCTAACCTATGCCATCAACACAATCGCTGCCTTATCCAAGCCCATTGTTGCAGTCACTGTGTCAATCCATTTTGTTGAGAGTCTTACTCTTTAGATGATGCCTTATTCAAAGGACTGGCCCCTCTTGACATCATACCCAAAGTGTAAGAAGTATGTTAGATGATGCATCCTTGCCTCTAAACAGCATCTTGGTTTTACTTCCTTCAAAACAGACTAGTGTGTTCTTTTGGCAGTCCATGGGGTATTTAGTACTCCTCCCTAAATGCAACAATTATTCTTTGGTTACCTTTATTCATCATCCAACTTTCAGATGTATAGGAAGCAATTGATAATACTATGGCTTGGACCAGGCACATGTCAGTCTTTAAAATGACATTGTTGTATGTTGTTCTTTCATACTTGATGGCAGACTGTCTCAGTTCAACATGTCTTTTGATTTCTTTATTTTATATTGGTTTGCATACAAAATTCATATGCATTGTTTCACTCATTTCTTCATTCACATTGTGTTTCATTCATTCACTGCAGTTACCATGGATGTTGACCTTAGAGCCAAGTTTTGATTAATTTTCCACAAGTGATTTTGCAAGCATTACTGGATTTCCCTTATTCATTCTCTTCATTCATTTCTCTTAGTCATTCTCGACTCTTCTGTGCAGGGATTCTTGTATTAGCACACTTACTCTGGGGTGAATTCAAATGAACAAGATACTCCAACATTCACAAATCTGTTAGAGAGGATCAGTGGCATAACGTCAGCACATCCTATCCATTACCACATATCCTAGTACTACTATGCAATCACAATGCACATTTCATTCTATAAATAAATCCTAGAAATAGTTTTAGGGTTCCATGCAAAAAATGGGAAAACCCCCAAAATATCTAATGGGAAAAGAATGAGTATTTTTAAGTCCAAAGAAATATTTGCTGCAGAAAATGCTTGCATAGAATGGTATTGGTGGGGAAGTATTGCTTCATAATCCTTGTTCAACATGATCTCCTAGAACCCTCTCTCTCAAGAAGCAAGTGTGCGCATAGCCTGTGGAAACAAAGAGGAAATAAAGTGTTAAAGCAACGGATGCCACTTAAGTTGACATTACCTTTCGTACAAATGTGTGTCTCTCTTCATGATAGAAATAAAAATTCTATCCTACTTCATACCTTAACTGCATTTATTTAAAAACAACAATTACAATTTATTAAGCGATAATTACTATAAGTGAGATGCTCTGCTTATTGCTTTATGGACACCTTTTCATTTTCACAAACATTTGAGATATTTTTATCATTCCTATTTTACATGAATCTAAAATGACACCAGCATAAGCCATTTGCCTGGGGAGCCACAGCCAGTAAACTGTAGAAACATGACTAGTACCCAGCTATGTGGGACTCTAGAGCCCACTCTGAGAATCAGTGTTGTCACCAACTGGGTACAGACGGCACTGGCTGACACCAAAATGAGTGTCAAGAAAAGCTGTATGTGCAGTGTTTCAGCAGAACTTTCTGATTATTTATTAAATGAGAATGTGTCTGTCATTAGCTATAAAGGAGCCCTGCAGATGCAGTGGCTCCATGCTCAGCTGCTAATGGAAAGGTGAGTGATTGGGGGACACTCTCCCTAATAGCTCTGTAGGAGAATGACAGAGCAGTCAGCTTCTACAGAGATCACAGCCACGGAAGCCTATGGGGCAGTTACAGTCTGTCATACAGGGCCACTATCAGCCAGAATCTACTCAAAGTTTTAGTTAGTAATAACAATCATTTCTCTCAAGCCCAGTTTACACATATCAGTATGTTCACATGGCTAAAACTCTATGCTAGTTTATTTATTTTATTCTTTTTTGTGCATGTACCATCAAATCAGATCTGACTGGTACAGGAGGAAATGGTCCCTCCTTCTCTGGCAGAGCATCTGGTGGATTTGAACCCTGTACCTTTGGGATTGCAGTACAGCTTCTTGCCACTAGGCCTCAGAGGTCCCCTTAAAACTCTATGCTGGTTTATCTTTAAGGGAGCTCTGGTGGATTAGTAGTAAAGAATTATACTGTCAACCCAAAGAGATGAGGTTGGAATCCACCAGCTGCTCCATAAGGGAAAGATGGACCATTTCATGTGGTTTACTGCATCTAAAAACCCACTAGAGGGTCAGCTAGAAGTTGGTTCCGACTTCACCATACATAACATTTACTCTTATGATCTTCTAATGCATGGGGTTTTGTGTGTTTCTCTCTTTTTTTTCTGGTCTAATTTTTTTTAAATTTTAATTTTAATGAAAGTTTACAGAGACTTAGGGTTTCCAGGCATTCACTGTTGCACTTTTATGCCTTTCCTCCCTGCCACTTCACTCTTCTTGAAAAGTAAAAGAAAAACTCTTGCATTGTTATGCAATGTCTCCCCCCAAGACAACTCCACTGTGCAGCCTTCATTCTGGACTCCTGTCATGACAATAATACCCAATCATAAATCCCTTTTTAACAGTTCTCTCCCTCATCTGTTCCAATGCAACATACAGAATTCCTTCCCTCTTTCTCTGTCTTCCCTCAACCCCAACATGCATCCCGTTTTACAACAGTGGCCCTATGCAATATCTGTCCTTTTGTGAATGAGATATTTCACTCAGCACAATGTCCTCCAGGGTCATCCATTTTGCATAATATTTCATGAGTTCCTTGTTTTTCAGTGCTGCGTAGTATTCCATTGTGTGAATATACCAGAGCTTCTCTATGCATTTGTTTGTTGATGGGCACTTGGGTTGTTTCCAACTTTTTGCTATTGCGAACAAAGCCGCAATAAACATGGGTGTGCATATATCTGCTTGGGTGGCAGTTATGGTTTCTTTAGGATAAGTTCCCAATAGTGGAATTGCTGGGTCAAGTGGTATTTCTGCTTCCAACTTTTTGAGAAAGCACCATACAGCCTTCCATAATGGCTGCACCATTTTATACTCCCAGCAACAGTAAATAAGGGTTCCAGTTTCTCCACAACCTCGCCAGCATTTGTTGTTTGCTGTTGTTAAATTTTGCTATTCTTACTGGAGTGAGATGATATCTCATAATTGTTTTGATTTGCATCTCTCTTAGAGCTAGGGATTTTGAACATTTCTTCATGTGTTTGCTTGCTATCTGAATGTTTTCTTTGGTGAAGGGTCTATTCATATCCTGTGCCCCGTTTTCAATTGGGTTATTTACTCTTATATTGTTGTGGTGCTCCAATATTTTATAAATTCTAGTTCCTTATCTGACATGTCATTACCAAATACTTTTTCCCAGTCTGTGGCTTCCTTTTTACCCTGTTGGAGAAGTTTTTGGATGTGCTAATTCATGTTTTGTTGTTTTTCTTGCTGCTGGTGTCTCTGTAATTACTAATTTTGCCAAATTTTATGATGCTTCCCTGCCCCCCCTCCCTTGTTGTGTATCATAGAATTGGATACAATTGGCACAGGAGGAGAATGCGCCTCCTTCTCCAGAGGGGAATCTGGTGGATTTGAATTGTGCGCCTTTTTTGCCACTAGGCCACCAGCCTATGATGCTTTAGCAAAATATTGTGGCAATTATTTGTTTGGGAACTTACATCAATCTTTGTTGTTTTTTTTTTTAAGAATGAAGTTGTAACTAAAGGAAAATAAGAAGAAAAATATAAAAACTTTGTACTGTTACTAATAACATTACAATTAATAATGTAACTCAATGCAGAAAAAATTTATATAACAATTTCTTGTTAGGATTCAGATAGTCTAAGAAATTATATTTAATCAATTTGAAACTATAATAATTTCATATTATTTGAAGACTAAAAAGGAAACTGGTGGCCTAGTGGCAAGAAGCTGCACTGCAATCCTGAAGGCACAGGAGAATGATGGGCAATTTCCTCCTATGTGATTAACTGCTTCTGAAAACCCACCGGAGGGTCAGCTATGGGTCAGTTCTGACTCGACGGTACACAGCAACAATAAAACCTATAAGAAACACTGCTAATCATTCTATAGGCTCAAGTATGAGAGGAGGTCAACAAGTGAAGGTGTTATTGACACTATGAATTATTATACTGGGTCAAACCAACCTTAGTGATGTCATTGCTCTGAATATTGCTTTCCAAGACTGGAGAAAGTGAAATCAGAGTGCTCTTTGGAGCAAGGTTGGTGAAACTTCATCTCACATTCTTTGGGCTTGTTGTTAGGAAGGGCCAGTCCCTAAAGAAGGACACTGTCCTTGGAAGTAATAGAGGAAGAATCTTGACAATGTGGATTGACAGTGTGACTGTAGCAATGGGCTCAAGTGTGTTAGAAATGGTGAGGATGGCACAGGACAGGCAGGTTTCAGATCAATTGTTCGTCTACAGTCACTATAATTCATAGTTGATTCGACAGCACAAAACAACAATATCACATATAAAAGAACAGGGAGCTTTGACGGCCCAGTGGTACCAAGTTGTGCTGACAACATAAAGACAGGCAGACTGGGTTCACCAGCTGCTCCTCGGGAGGAGGATGGGCAATCTCCTCCCGTGTAATTTACAGCTTCTGAAAACCCACCAGAAGGCCAGTGATAAATCAGTTCTAACTCCAAAGTAATGACCTTTGTTTTTCCATCTAGGAACTCTACCATGAATCCTTTCTTACGGCTGTCAAGAAATGTTCCTATGACAACTGCTCAGCTTTTCCAGTTTTGATATATGGGTTTTTACTCAACCATGATCAGCCTTATGTCCATATGGTCACTAACTATTAAAGTTGGAAGGACTTCTCAGCTTATAACATTACCTTCCTCAACTCCTACAGATAAGATGTAGGCCTGGCTTTCAATGTAGTCACTTATTTCTTCTATAAAAATATGCTTCCTGTCTGTCCCTACTGTCTGGTTTTTCTAGAAGGATTGAAAAGTTCATTCTTTTCAACATTTCTATCAATACCTGGAGAAAGGCAGAGAAGACAAGATTGTCAGATTTATAGATGACACTGGTAGAGGTGGACAGATGATATACTAGGATAGATGACAAACCCAGAATTAAAAAACTAGGAACCACAGAGAGCATTCTAGCAGGAATATGTGTGATCCGGCAGTAGGGTTAAAAATATTAATCACTTAAATATCAATTGTGAGCCCACTGGGACCACAGTCTGTGTGAAAATACAGACCCTCTTCCACAGAAGGCAATAGTTTGATGTAGCTGTTCTGAAAACAAACATTTTTAACTCATAGTGAAGTAGAAGTCTGTCCTGGAGAGGGTGAAAGCAGGCTGCTCCCTGGAGACAAGGATTTCGAAGCTCTTTCTCACATACTTTGGGCACATGATTGGAAGGGTGGAGGGACAGCGCAGGAGAGAAAGATCCAGGATGAGATAGATTGACTCAGTGACGGGAGAAATGGGATTAAATCTGTCAGAGACAATGCAATTGGCTGAGGATAGGGCAGGGTTCAGAGCTAATGTACATAGGGTCACTATGAGTCACAGGCAACTCAGTGGCACATAGCAATAAAAAAATAAAAGTGTCCTTATGAAATCAAGTTTGCATGCCATCATCATGCTGATCTGCCTGTATCTGAAGTGTCTTCTTTTTGGCCAGTTAAGTGCTGACCAACTGTTGGTCTGTGAGGAACAGAAGTGGGAACTGGAGGAGTCTCACTAATAGCCAAGCTGGTAGAGATAAGAAAACTCATCTCGTGTTTACAGGGCTGTTCAGAGGAGTTTGTTTTCCTAGAGAAGGCAGATCTCAGTCCACTAAGGGGCTATGACCAGTTGTTACTGAGTTGATTGCAACACCTGATAACTTCACAGTAGACCTGTGCTCCACAGGATTTTCAGTAGCTGGCTTTTGGGAGCACTGGCGGCTTAGTGGTGAAGAGCTGCACTGCCAACCCAAAGGACTATGGTTCAAATCCACCAGCTGCTCCACAGGAGAAAGATGACCAATCTTTTCCCATACAATTTACTGCCTCTGAAAACCCACTGGATGGTCATTTATGAGTCAGTTCCAACTTGACATTACACACAACAACAACACAACATTTTAAGGTTTTCCTTCTGAGGCACCTCTAAGTGGACCTGAACCTGCCACCTTCCTGAAGCCTATCATAGCAGTTTAATCATGCAGGGATTCCACAGTGCCTAGTACAGAGAGATCAAGTTGAATTTGTAAGCACAACTAAAAGTTAAAGAACTATAACAGTATGATAAACTGCTTTACAAAGAAACCAATTGTCATCAGCAAATGTTCACACAGAAGCTGAATGAACATGCGGTAGGCATGGGCTAGGATTTCAGATTACTTGATTTAAAGGAAATCTTTCAACTTAAAAATTCTATGATCTTCTGTTTCCAACCATATGACATCCTAAAAGGCAAAGCTATAGAGCTGAGTGCTTGCCAAGGATGCAGGGGAGATAGAGAGAAATGAGAAGTGGAACACAAGCGGGTTTTAGGCCATCAAACTCTTCTTTATACATTCATAATGCATTAGTGGACATACGACATCATGCATTTACCAAAATTCATAGGACTATGAACTGTAGCTAAATAATAATAATAAATAATGTGTTCATCTTGGTTTATCATGGTTAAAAAATAATACACTAGCAAAGTATTAACAGGAGAAATGGGGGGTGGCAAGACTACTTTCTGCTCCATTTTTATATAAACTCAAAACTCTGTGTGTGTGTGTGTGTGTGTGTGTGTGTGTGTGTGTGTGTGTGTAAGTGTGTATAATTTTTGTTACCATTGTGGGTCCTATTTCCCTGCGTGATGGAGCCATACCTTTTACTCAGATGTGATTCCAAGTTTTAGTCCAGACTTTTGGGAATACTGTGATAACAGAAGACTACCAAAAGTGCATACAATGAATCTCAAGTTGGGGGAGTGTCTTTTATAACCATTTTCAATCAGATGGAGAAAAAGCATGATTATTGTCCTTCACTTAGTACTCCTGAAGCTTACAAAATGTCTGAGTTAGAAATTTTCCCCAAACTCCTAGCACATATGACTGAGAGAGAAAGAAAGTGGAGGTTTAGGTGTGAAATCAGGACCCGCATGTTGGCTCGTGCTAGTTCTGAAGATTCCTTTACGCTATGGACAAAAGGTTCAAGTACTTCATGTCTTCAAGGGAAAATTTCTATTACTGCTTTCCCTGTCTGTGAAGCCATTCTTTTGGTATTTCCCTTAAATTATTTCTCCTTTGCCATTTGAATTCTCCTACTTCTTTAAGATTAACTTAAAATTATATTCTTAGAAAGAATGTAGTAGTGATCTTACCTCATCCTGGACATCAAGTTCTTCTACCATCAGCTCTGCTTGCATTAATTCAAGAGGATCTTTCGAGTCTTGTATGAGTGAGATCTTGAAAAAAAAAAAAAAAAGAGAACATGGAGAGTATTTATTGGAAAAATAACAGCCTCAACCCACTTGAAACGCAGCTTCGAGTGGAAGCTTCGTTTGTGGTTCTCTTCTATAATCTAACACTTCAGAATCCTCTCCAGCTTTCGAGTTCTTTATTATTTCCCACCTTTGAGTTTTTCACCCTCATTTTCTTCCCCATTTAAGTATGAACTTGTAAGTTCTTCATTGTCTAAACTCCGTGGCAGCTCTCCACCCCAACCTCTGAATCGTGTGTCTCAACCAATCACTCTCTTCTCTCTAAATGATTCTGCAGTTGACAGCACTTCTCCTTCAATGGTAAGGTAAGAGCACTTAGTACAGCTCTGACCATCCAGTAAACTCGGGGTGCAGGACTTGTGACTGATGACAACAAACAGTCCCAGGTTGAATTTGATACAAATTCTTTTTACTGACAATGCAACGAATGCCAATGAACCATGGTGACTCCGCACAAAATCTCTGCTTTTTGAGGGTAATATGTAATTTAATTGTCTGTACAGTGGAAATCAACAACTGCTTAGCTCTGTCTTGAAGAAAGACATTACCAAAGAAATTCTAACTGTATATAATAAGGGCAAGAGTAAAATATTAGAAGCGCTATTTAGCTGCACTTATCTTGCAAAGGACTCCATATTTTTGCTCATATGGAAATGAATGATTTTAAGTGGAGAAGTTAGAATCTAGGTATTGCTACAAATTAGGGTGACCCTGAGACAGTCTTTGCAATGGTAAAATAAAGGGATACAAAGAGAAGCATAACATGACATCTACAACATCAATAACACAGAAGAGTCCTTTCCTTCTTCCTAAAAAAAAAAAAAGAAAAAAGCATGCACCACAAGCAAAGCTTTCTCATCATTTACCATAAATCTCTGACTCAGGGCTTTGCACTGGATTCTGAAGTATAAGGTTTCTGACCTGACAGGTCATCAGTACCGTTCACCCCAATAAACAATGCAACAGTAAGAATATTAATATAAGCACTCAGATTAATTTAATCTAATATTTGTTTGTTGTTGTTGTTGTTATGTGCCGTCGAGTCATTTCAGACTCATAGCGACCCTATGCACAACAGCTCT